GGGCGTGCAAAACCGGCCAAAATGTGCAGACCCGTATATATACGGTCGGCGTCGCAACTTATGTCGCTAAAATGTTCAGATTCGAATATATGAAAAACAGTACGATGGGTACAAAATTCGATCTGCAATGCGATTCAATATTCACTATAATTATTTAACCACTATTTTTATTGAATTTTTAGTCATTTTTGCATTTTTTTTAAATATTTATTGAAATTAAGGTCCAAATATGTATTTTCTTAGATAAAAAAAATTGATTTTTTTTGGTCGGTTTTTTTTTTTAAATTGTGCATTAAGGGGTTAATCCTCTATGGGCCCATGTAACTTTCAAGTCACAAGCTAATGTATCCACATTTTTATAATAGTTTTAGTTTTTTTTTTTTCACAAGATGATGTATACGTCTTAATTATATAATGCCTCTGCATTAACAAATAACAATATCGATGACGGTTGGCAGCACCATCGATCTGAAATGTCAAAGTAAATACCTTGCAAGTTGTCTGCAGACAGAAACCAAAGGGACCATTTCGTGCAATTGAGATTATTTGTGCTTTCGTCGGTGTTTACTAAATAAAAAAAAAGCGTATATAATATCTCTGGATTCGTATATCGATAACAATTTATTTATTTGCATTTCAATAATCATTTTGTTACTATTTGTATATGATACAGTTTTGTAACTTTCAGGTTACATTGGGATATCGAGTGTGTCTAGGATAATAGTTGTGCTTTCTTCTATTTTCAAATTTATATATCGAATACCCCCAAAATATGGATACAAAATCATATAAAAACAAAAGAGGAATTAGAATTAGACGCATTAGCGGTAATAGATCCGAAGATTCTTTATTAGATTCTAAATCCGATGAAGATCATCCGGTGACATTTACCCGACGTCGCATAAATATTATTAACAGTGACAATGAATTTAGTACCGAATCATCGTCGGATGATGAAAATTCAGGACCACAAAAAACTGTTCGGCAACCAGTTCCAAATGCAACGTACATCGATGTTTAACGCCAAGTGCAAACTGTTTTACGGAATTTCACGCTCGAGCTTCTGTGCACAAAAATTCAAACGTTGCAAGCCGCTGTTACTTCAAAGTTACAAAGTGAATTAATATATTACAATAAAATTATTTAAAGTGGTAAATTTCTTTTTAATCTGCATATATAGATTTGTAATCGTTGATTTTCCGTTGCATAAATTTTTTTATAAAAAAAATTCGGCCCGCAGAGGGTTAAGAAATAATCCAAGCCGGAATCCCAATAAAACGTGCAGGGGTCCATCGTTTCCGAGCGAAGCTCGTTTAACGCTCGCTTAGCCGGATAACAGGATAAAGAGTCTCTTCAGCGAATTAGGCAGATGGTCGCGCGGCGGTTCGAACAACTCCGACGCGTCCCCCGAATCGTGGAACTTTTCGAGAACAAAGCGATCGAAAGATAATTCGGTTGTTAATGATAATGCGTGCATGGTGATCCAATTCGCGGCGCGACGCGACGATAAGCTTTCAAGGAAAGAGAACGAGTCGTTGTGTCGCAGCGTCGCCGAGGTTCCAGCCCGCGATCGACTCGCTCGATTTTTCGTATTTTATTCCCCGACCGCGACAACGATCTTCTCTCGCGACACGCGGATCGATCCTGTAACCGCGCGATCGTTTCCGCGACAGCAACGTTGTCGCAAATCTGCGCAAATCTGTACATCGCTTAATTTTCGAATACGTCGAGAACCGAAGCCGAGGAATCGAATCGAAGAAGCATCGGATTTTGGAAAATATCATTTCGTCGAAGAGCACACGTTTCTTCGTATGGATCTTCGTTTATGCTTGCTACGACAACCGAACGTGAATCGCTGGTGTCGATGACGGGTCTAGCCAATTCGTTCGCATCATTGTCAACGACCCCAGTCCCCCGGTGACTCGTTGTCGGTGGAAAAGTACTACTTTCGACGGGTGCTTTGACCTTTCCAACTGGTCACCGTCGGTCGCAAAACAGCACGTTGGCCGATGGAATCTTTTATGAGAGGCGGTGCTGCGTCGAAGATGCTCGAAATCGTCGAAAATGTCAACTTGCAGACAAATTCGCGCGCAACCCGATGCAAGAAAGAAACGGATGGGCGTCTTATTTTTACCGATCGACCACGTTTTGTCGCGCAACGAATCGATCCGTTTTTCTACGTACGCGTATTGTACGGACGCTGTCACCAGCGTTTCCACACGGTTGTTGTCGTAAGTAGCTTTTTAAACGCACTCGTTTACCTTTGCAAATTCTGCACAGCGAATAGTTTTTAAACGTCGAGGGAAAACAATGGAGGCAATTTATCAGATTTACGTGTCGCAAATATGTATACGATCCTCAAGGTTATCCCGCAGCCGTCGCGTAAAGACCGATGTCGATGCTACGCTATGCTATGCCTCTTGCGTTCTTTCTGTTTAGTTTTTCAATCGCGAGTATCGAACATCGAAAATCAATTGAACGCGCTCGTTCCAAAATCTCCGATAGACAAGGTCAGATGATCGCGAGTCGTTGAACTCGTTGTTTGTTGTAATGCGATGCGAAAGAAATCCCGGTTTCGAAGATCCGTACGAATAAAGAAAAAACGAAACAGATAACGATCTTGGTTGCGCGAAGAGGCACGACTCGTCAGCGACAGAAATTCGTGTTCACCGGGATAGGGAACGATGCGGACGACGCTATCAACGGTGTCGGACGGCTCGATCGACCGATGAACTTAATTTTCGTGCGATCTACATGTGTACGCGCATACGCGCGTATATAATTCTTTCGGCGCGTCCGTGGAACGCGGTTAAAAAATAGTTCGTCGATCGTTATTTAACACGTTGGCTGCCGTGGGGATCGCCGGTGACCGGCACTTAACTTGGCGGTGACGTCGTGGGGACCACCGGTGACTGGCACTTAACTTGGCGGTGACGTCATGGTGACCACCGGTGACTGGCACTTAACTTGGCGGTGACGCCGTGGGGGCCATCGGTGACCGGCACTTGACTTGGCGGTGACGCCGTGGGGACCACCGGTGTCCGGCACTTAACTTGGCGGTGACGTCATGGGGGTCACCGGTGACCGGCACTTAACTTAGCGGTGACGCCGTGGGGGCCATCGGTGACCGGCACTTAACTTGGCGGTGACGCCATGGGTGCCACCGGTGACCGGCGCGCCCAAATTGATAGAAATATATATAATTTCAAACAAATGTCAATATCTAAAATTTTGTATTATTACCATCGTCGTTTCAAATTGTGATCCCCGTCGCCGTTAACATGTCAAACATGGTTATACACTGTAACTTATCTATTGCAGATAATATTTCAACATTATATGTATCGCATAAAAGAAAATTCATCGTGACGCCACGGACAATTTCTGCAAAACCGACGTGGCATTCAACGTGTTAATTATCGACCAAGGGCTCTTCTTCCTCGATCGAAAAAATGATTTATCCGATTGCGTATCTCGATATTGTACGAACGAACTCGGAGATATTTTTCAATCGCGACGAAGCTCGAAGGAGAAATTTAATCTAAAAATTTCGAGCAACACTATTCGATCGCGAACGTGTTTTGCTGCTGCTATTATTGTTCGGAAGTCGGATTCGAACGTTCGTTTCGACGACGGAAAATCAATAAAAGCAATTACATAATCTACCTTCGACAACGCGGACGGTATATGTGCAACATCTATTTTGTTGCACGATATCGAGACGGCGGCCGTGTGCAATAGACTTCGCGAATCGAATTAGCAACTCGATAGAAATATGTATGTGTATCGATGTTGCTACACCTGTCGGGTTCTCGCTGTCGAACGACGCGAAAGCCGGCGGTGACGTTACGTATTATATTTGAAATAAGAACGGTACAATTAAATGCTATATTTATGATTGTACGAGCTGCCGCGATGTTTGTTTGTTTTCTGAACATAAGAGGAAAATAAAGTCTCGATCGCGGCTAAGAATACACGATCCGATGATAATGCGATAAAGTTTGTTATTAAAATGTACAATGGATACAACGATTGAGCAAAGACCGCGATAGCTCGTAATCCGCTTGCATGTTGTACGTTGCTTATCGCGGCAAACGTGATTTATCGAAGTGCCCTCGTCGTCTCAAGTTTCAAGTGCCCGAAGCATGTCGGCACGATTCGTAATCTGTAAACGAGTCTCCGTCTAAATTGGATGCGGATCATAAATATACATATCGGTACATCCTGGGGGCACTCGTTGATTCCCGTGAACAGCGCGTTTCTTTGTCTCTTTGCTACTTATTATTATACTCGTTCGTTATTCGTGTCAAGGATTACCGAATTTCGTTCGCTCGCAATTCCGTCGCGATTCACCAAGATCGTGGAGTTCGCTCTAAACGTTGGACGATCTAAAATAAAAAGTTAGAACTGCTCCAAATTTTTGATCGAAGAAATTTAACGAAATCGTGTTTATCAACGTGGTCGGTTAATTTCGTGCTAACGAAACACCGTGCATCCGAGAGAACGTAATCTCACGGTGCCGAACGTTGCGTCGGTTGGCGCACGATAACTGTAGTTCGCTTTGAAAAATACATTCGGCGATGAGACGTTGCCTCGGCAAATTTCAGACAGTTTGAAACATTGTCGAAGGTGAAACGCGCGGTCGTTGAATAAATTCCAACCTGGATGTGCCCGTTCGTGACGTAAAGTCGAGCCGGGGAACAGCTGATCGCCTTTCACTCGCGTTCGCTCGCGGCTCGCAAGAATTTCCTCGTGAACCCATTTCGTCGGGCAACGTAATGTCGGCCAAGGTCACGGTGCTAGGATATCCTAAAAACCGTATATAATTCGAATGACGAATTTTTCTTTCATACGTTCGTACGTGTGTACGCGGTACGCTTAATTTATACACCCACTCGAAGGTAAAATAGTTTTACGAAAGATAAAAATTGTTTTTTATACTCGCGCATGTTGAAACGATTGGAAAAAATAGAAACTAGAAAATTTTTGTTTTGTTTCAGGGGATGGCATTTACCATCGAGGAGAGGCAAACCCTGGGTATACACGGTCTCCTGCCAGCGGTCGTGAAAACTCAGGACGAACAATTGGAGCTGTGTCGTCTGAATCTCGATCGTTATCCCGACGATCTATCGAAGTACATCTATCTGATAGGTCTACTCGTAAGTAGGATCCGCGAGCGCGCTTCGCAGTTTTCATCGAAACGTAAATATTAACGAGAACACCGTTCTACAGGATAGGAACGAGAAACTGTTCTACCGTTTGCTAGGAGACGATGTAGCGAAAATGATGCCTCTGGTGTACACTCCCACGGTGGGTCTGGCTTGTCAAAAGTTCGGTTTGATCTACCGTAGACCCCGTGGTTTGTTCATCAGCATACACGACAAGGGACACGTGTACGACGTTTTGAAAAATTGGCCGGAACACGATGTGCGCGCCATCGTCGTTACGGACGGAGAAAGAATACTTGGTTTGGGCGATTTGGGGGCGTACGGCATGGGAATCCCCATCGGCAAGCTGTCCCTGTACACCGCGTTGGCTGGCATCAAGCCTAACCAGTGTCTTCCCATCACTTTGGATGTCGGAACGAATACTCAGGTGAGCGTCGCGTTCGCGTTCAAATCGGCCCATTACGCTCCGAGATATCGTTGAAAACGATTACGTCGCGTTAAGCAATTATTTGTAGATTATCGGAATCGCTTATGTATTAACACATTAAAGGCGGGAGTCGTAGTACTACGATTTATCACGACTTCTCATAAATATGTACTTTAAAACATTTTTTGTAATTAGTGTTTAGTTCTTTTAGTTTTAAGAGTTTAAATAAACTTTTTTAAGTCTAAATTTTTTTATGATCACACAAAATATCGTCCGCTCTAGGACGAAAAACGAGGCGGGGCGGTCGCCGCGTTACCTAGCATACTTTCGTCAAGATCCCCCGCCTTTAATGTGTTAAGATCAAATTTCTGAAATTTGTCGTTTCGACTGGTCTAGCAGCCTCTAAACTACTACTGTTACTATAATCGGACCTCGCTTAACCGTCGGGAAGGACTCGCAATCGAGGCTTTATTATTTCAACCGCAATCAAGCTTCAATTACGTTGCATAAACGCGGTTGCAACGACCAAGGTTGATGGCGTAGTTGCCAGCGGAATTGTTTGTTCCACCGTGGAAGACTAGACTAGAAGTTTCGGAGGGTGCATCATCTTAAACTGGTATCCTGTGTCTTTCAGCTTTTGTTGGACGATCCGCTCTACATCGGTCACAGACACAGACGCGTCACTGGCCAGGAGTACAACGACTTCGTGGACGAGCTCATGAGCGCAGTGGTCAAACGATACGGTCAAAATACTCTGATTCAATTCGAGGATTTCGGCAATGCCAATGCGTTCAGGTTACTGAGCAAGTATCGCGATCGCTACTGCACCTTCAACGACGACATCCAAGGAACTGCTTCGGTCGCTGTCGCCGGCTTGTTGGCGTCCCTTCGTGTCACAGGCACGAAACTTTCGGACAACACGATCGTTTTCCAGGGTGCCGGGGAGGTAACCGTCTTCGAAGATTGCTCGTCGTAAACAGAAAATCAGAATGTTATTAACGCGGATTTTTAGAATCGTAAACTGTTAAATGAAAAAAATGTAAGAATACCGATAATATAACCGTTTGACAGGCATCGTTGGGTATCGCGTGGCTGTGCGCGATGGCAATGATGGACGAAGGCGTCACCGAGGAGCAAGCCAAGAGCAAGATATGGATGGTAGACTCGAAAGGATTGATCGTGAAGGACCGTCCAAGCGGCGGGATAACCGAACATAAGTTGCACTTTGCANGGACACGTGTACGACGTTTTGAAAAATTGGCCGGAACACGATGTGCGCGCCATCGTCGTTACGGACGGAGAAAGAATACTTGGTTTGGGCGATTTGGGGGCGTACGGCATGGGAATCCCCATCGGCAAGCTGTCCCTGTACACCGCGTTGGCTGGCATCAAGCCTAACCAGTGTCTTCCCATCACTTTGGATGTCGGAACGAATACTCAGGTGAGCGTCGCGTTCGCGTTCAAATCGGCCCATTACGCTCCGAGATATCGTTGAAAACGATTACGTCGCGTTAAGCAATTATTTGTAGATTATCGGAATCGCTTATGTATTAACACATTAAAGGCGGGAGTCGTAGTACTACGATTTATCACGACTTCTCATAAATATGTACTTTAAAACATTTTTTGTAATTAGTGTTTAGTTCTTTTAGTTTTAAGAGTTTAAATAAACTTTTTTAAGTCTAAATTTTTTTATGATCACACAAAATATCGTCCGCTCTAGGACGAAAAACGAGGCGGGGCGGTCGCCGCGTTACCTAGCATACTTTCGTCAAGATCCCCCGCCTTTAATGTGTTAAGATCAAATTTCTGAAATTTGTCGTTTCGACTGGTCTAGCAGCCTCTAAACTACTACTGTTACTATAATCGGACCTCGCTTAACCGTCGGGAAGGACTCGCAATCGAGGCTTTATTATTTCAACCGCAATCAAGCTTCAATTACGTTGCATAAACGCGGTTGCAACGACCAAGGTTGATGGCGTAGTTGCCAGCGGAATTGTTTGTTCCACCGTGGAAGACTAGACTAGAAGTTTCGGAGGGTGCATCATCTTAAACTGGTATCCTGTGTCTTTCAGCTTTTGTTGGACGATCCGCTCTACATCGGTCACAGACACAGACGCGTCACTGGCCAGGAGTACAACGACTTCGTGGACGAGCTCATGAGCGCAGTGGTCAAACGATACGGTCAAAATACTCTGATTCAATTCGAGGATTTCGGCAATGCCAATGCGTTCAGGTTACTGAGCAAGTATCGCGATCGCTACTGCACCTTCAACGACGACATCCAAGGAACTGCTTCGGTCGCTGTCGCCGGCTTGTTGGCGTCCCTTCGTGTCACAGGCACGAAACTTTCGGACAACACGATCGTTTTCCAGGGTGCCGGGGAGGTAACCGTCTTCGAAGATTGCTCGTCGTAAACAGAAAATCAGAATGTTATTAACGCGGATTTTTAGAATCGTAAACTGTTAAATGAAAAAAATGTAAGAATACCGATAATATAACCGTTTGACAGGCATCGTTGGGTATCGCGTGGCTGTGCGCGATGGCAATGATGGACGAAGGCGTCACCGAGGAGCAAGCCAAGAGCAAGATATGGATGGTAGACTCGAAAGGATTGATCGTGAAGGACCGTCCAAGCGGCGGGATAACCGAACATAAGTTGCACTTTGCACGTGGCGATGCGCCAATCGACACGTTGTTGGAGGTGGTGAAAACAGCGAAACCAACGGTTCTCATTGGCGCTGCCGCGGTGGGCGGCGCTTTCACGACCGAAATCCTGGAAGAAATGGGAAAGAACAACGACAAACCGGTGATTTTCGCCCTCAGCAATCCGACCAGCAAAGCAGAATGTACCGCCGAGGAAGCGTACGTTGCTACGAAGGTAAACCGCGTAACTACCAAGCTACCGCCGATCGAAGCTGTCGGAGTTAAAAGTCTGCTTTTCCGGTTATCCGATAAACTTGCAAACTTTTAGGGAAAATGCATATTTGCCAGTGGATCGCCTTTCTCTCCGGTGACCTACGAAGGCAAGACTTTCAACCCTGGCCAAGGGAATAACAGCTACATCTTCCCCGGCGTTGCGTTGGGAGTTATATGCGTCGGTATGCGCACAATTCCTGAAGAAGTGTTCCTAGTGTCTGCCAGAAAGTTGGCCGACATAGTCTCGCAAGAAGACTTGGACTCTGGAAACCTGTATCCACCGTTGCAGGACATTCAGAAGTGTTCGTTGAAGATAGCCGTCGAGGTCGCGAAATACGCCTACGAGAACAGTAAGAAAATTTCTTGAATTTTGTTCGGTAATGTTCGCGTAAAAAGATTCCGGTCGTATTCATCGCCGTCATCGTATATTTTTATTCGCAGAGCTTGCATCGGTTTATCCGGAGCCGAAAGATCTCAAGGAGTTCATCGAGGCACAACTGTACGACACATGTTACAAACCGTCTGTACCCCCGGTATACGCCTGGCCTCAGTAATTCAGTCGGGCGCACGGTTTTAACTATGAAAACGATATGTTGACGATTATAAATCTTCCGACTGTTAGGTATCGCTTCCGATAAAATCCAAATATGTTGAATACTCGCATGTCGCGTATTTCACAACATTGTCTTTTTTTTTATTCGGCATTAGATTCCGAGAGATAACCTGTTGAGCAGGATCGTATGTAGCCGATTAACGAGTTCCGTGCACGTGTGTAAGAGAGGATATATGTTGCGTGAGTGTTGCATACTAAGGCAAATATCGGTGTTTCCGTTCGTGTGAGTCGTCGATCGCGTTAAATTATTATTGGGATGAAGCTTAAATCAACTGGTTGAATTAATAAAAAGTTCGTATGATTATTTGAAAGAAATGTGTTTTTATTGCTACTCGAGACAGCAGTTTCTTTTCCGGTGCTTAAGACTTAATTTCCATCTTTATGCGAGCAGCAGGATTATCCTTTGAACTTCGGTCATGTCGTGTGTACAAGAATTGAACAGCAAATACGGGCAAACATGAGCGTCGAAGCCTCGTTATTTACCTCACGATTCCATGCGTGTTTTTGTTGTTGTTCACACCTCGATTACACAAACGAAAAGCAGAGGTTCCTTCTTCTTCTTCTTCTTCGAAAAGATCAAATATGCGGTACACGCATATAAATTATCATCGTTAATGATAAATTAATCATAGGTACCCGGTAAAAGTAATGAAAATCGTTCCACCTTCCTTTCAATTTTTGCAAGACTTGATTGAAATCATTAAAACACACATGATTGTTCGCAACAACGCGAGACAATTTAACAAAATATTCACATACGCGCCGAATAAAAAGGACGCACGACTCTTCGAATCGTCTCGATGCGGGAAAAGAACATACATCGAACGGTATTTTCGAAAATGCTCATCTTGCGGTTTTCCGAAACCGTTACAACATTTATCCGTCTTCTTGATCTTCTTCAACTACGATGAATTGGCGTTCCTTCCTCAAAAGACTTCGTTCTCACGCACTCCCTCTCTTTTTCACTTGCATTCTCTCCCTTTCTCTCTCTCTCTCGCTCGACCTTTCTCTCTCTCTCTTTCTCTCCCGTCGTCACTTTATTCATCTCAACACATACGCGTATATTTACTTGGCTTATCGCTAATCTGATTCTTACTACTAAACACGTCGTGGTCATCAATCTATGACAAACAAGAGTATAAACTGTGACCTTCTTTTTACGCCAAACTTTGTTGCATCATAACATCGTAATAAAATTAAAGAATAAAATGTACAGAAGGAGCGTTTTCTTTAGAAAATGTTTACACAATCGGTTTGGGACTCTGTTACGCTACACTGAGCAGACACACTGGCCGATTCGCGCCAGTCACAGGGATCTCGTCAGTAATTTAGCTATCTACCCTCATTCGGTTGCCTGCCAACGGAAACGAGAACGATGATGCATCAGCGATCGATCCGTTGTACAAACGTATTCTCAATCGAGTCCGAGTTCCACAGCACCATTTTCACTACTGCTTTCCTTTTATTTCACGTTGCGTCGACCGAACAAATTTCTTCTCGATATTTATGACCGATAATCGGATTATCCGAACAATTTTTCTCTCGCGTGCATAAAAATTTCGCACGGTTTTTCTCAATTTCTCGATTGCCAAACGATTATCGTGCGACTCTCGACCGACGTCATCGAATCACATTCTCGGGAGGAAAATACAGTTTCGTCAGGCTTAGCGACGATGTCGGAACAGTGACGTAAAGCAGTAGTGTCGTCGTCAATGGAGTGTCTGTCCAGTAGGGAAGTCGGTCCCTTTCCTAGCTTCATCGGGAGAGAGAGTGTGATCGTTCGTGTGGTTGCTGGGAGTCCCCAGCTGCACGGGGATCCGGTAATCTCTGGTGTGCTGGTAGAGCATCGAAGAACGGATGCGCTAGAGCGTCCTTCAGGACTATCCTTTGGGACGGCTCGTACTCCAGCATCTTTTGGATAAGATTGAACAGCTGCCGGTGTTCCTCGTCGTCCGACGGCATGCAACGCTGCAGGAAAGAAAACGTGGTAAGCGATTGCGAACACCGTGTTAAAGTTACACGTCCACGGTCAAAGAGATGGCACAACGAAACTCCTGGGTTCCGGTAAATCTCGTCGCGCCGTTCGAGAAAACTCGTCGATTCGTCGAGTCGAGCGGTTAAAGGTACCGTGCGACGAGTCCGGAACGAACGACGATACGCGCGTGCCATCTTTTTGGGCCGCGAGCGTGCAACGATGACGGCGCGTCGTTGATTACTCACTAGCAAAGGCTTGCAATTGTCACGAACGTATCTACCGGCAGAGCTTTTCTCCTCCCAATCCAATTTACCGTGGTAGAAATACTTGGTCTTAGTCTTGCGGGCCATGCGATGTGGAATCGTGCCAAGTATACGCTCCATCATTGCTAAGTGCTCGCGGTTGTCGTGCGTTTGGAATAAAGTAATACCCAGGTGCAGTTCGAAAAGGATGCAGCCGATCGACCAAACGTCGCAAGGCTGGGACCAACCTAATTCTACAGAAATAAAAGTACCGAGTTTAGCATGCGCCGTCCTCCTCTGGCTCTGGCGCGATGATTTCATCGGACCGGTTCTCTCTCGCCTTACCTAAAATTACTTCGGGCGCTCTGTAATGTCTCGTACTGACGATCGTGCTGTGATGTTCTTGGTCGAACGTGGCGCTACCGAAATCGATCAGCCTGATGTCCGTGCGTTTCACGCGTCTGATGATCTTTCGCTTGAAAATAAGTAACTCGATATGAACTCGCAACACTTTTTCAGCTAATCCTATCGGTCGCGATCTCTTTCTTGGGTAAGCAAACCAAATAATGTCGCGAAGGTGCATCGTGTGTTTTCGACGACGCGACAGGAAGTCGGCATATTTCGAGATCTCAAGGAGATCTCACGCGTTTTCTCTCCGTGATTCACAAACTATTCCGCGGAATTGCGCGCGACTCGTTTTAATTTTCAAGCTATTTATAAGGTCAACGAAATTTCGAGTCAATGAATTTAGCTTTCGCGAGAGAAAGCGAATCCGAATGCTTAGAGAGACCTTAAAATCTCAAAGACGCGATAGAAAATCATTTGAAATCGATCCTAAATATCGAACGCACAAACTACAAGTCTCTCTCACCCGTTTGCTCTGGTGTATAATGTCATAATCGGAGTCTACGAATAGTATGTTCTCCGGTTTCAAGTCGGTGTGCGTCAGCTTGTTATCGTGGAGGAATTTGACGGCGTAGCAAAGCTGGTAACCGATGTGCCTGACATGCTCCAATGGATAGGGCTGATAACTGTTGTCTCTCTGCAATAATGGTTTCGCTGTTAGCATCGGCGACACTCGATCCGGCCGGCGCGCGATATACATACCAAGAAATCAAATACACTAAGTCCAAGCATCTCGAAGGCTATGCACATGTGCCCGTGATACTTGAACCAGTCGAGCATCTTTACGCATAGACTGAAAGTAGCAAAACATTTGAGTACGGCGTGCCAAAGCGTGTAAACAGTGTTTCTGGGGAAAAGTATTCCGATTAGCGTCGCGCTGCAACGGCAGCTATTTATTTACGGTAACGTCGAGAATAGCCCGCCTTGTGCTACCAACTGATACACAGCGAATCGCATCGACGCGTCGCCAGAGCCACAACTCGTTGGCGTCGTAAAATCATCGTACCGATCGGCCGCTATCGCTCTCGAGAGTTACCGCGAACGAACGCGCTCGCGTTCGGAATACTTTTCACCAGCTCGTCGAGGACCATATCCCTGAAGAGATACTAACTGCTGGCCTTCCGAATCCTTGGTCGCAATTATCTCTAAGGCGTTTATTTCGAGCTTCGCGGCTTCCCTATACTTCTCTACGTTCTTGATAATTTTCAGAGCCATCACGTGATCCCTGCAAACGTCATTGTACTTTAATTAGACGACTGGCTGGCGTGTCCGGCCCCGATCGGGTCCGACGCGATTCCTCGTCGCAGGGCGCGACGCTAGAATCGCTTGATCGATTTTAATAAAACGGCAAACGGTATCGGGGGGTTGGGAAAACGAAGCGTCTCGCGGGCAAGCGAGCAGAGTTTCGCGGAGCTCGGCCGCTCCTCGAGAGGACGGCCGGCCCGTGTTAAAACAAAGTGCAAGGCCATCCTATTATTGCGACTACTTGCGCGTCATTTTGTGACAGTGCGGCCACAGCTATTTCTGAGCGTGCTATGACTCGAGTCGCGCCACGCACCTTTCGGATGGACCGTTCCTCGTCGGTCTTGGGGGGAGAGGAGGGTGAAGGAGGGCGCGGAGAACGGCGGAGGAAGGAAGAAAGGGAGGGAGGGAGGGAGGGAGGGTGGTTTGTCGCGGATGGACAGAGCGCGAGCATAGACGCAGAGACCCGGAGGTGTAGGTTACCTACGTAGTAGATACGTGAGCTGCCACTTACATTTGCAAGTCCTTAACCTTGACAACTTTTCCAAAAGTACCCTCTCCTAGGGTGGCCAGTACTTTATCTGCAATGTAAAAAGATAGATAAGCGGCCGGCGGATCGAAGACCTCGCGTCCACGGAAGGACGAGCGCGTTGCTCCGCCGGGGATCCGAGGACGACGCGTCGCGCGCCTCGTTCTCGAGATCACCGGGACAAATATCCTTCGATAATCTCGACGGCTAACGTCGGATATTCCATCAACCTCGACGTCCCGACGACTCCTCGTCGCCGGGCGACTGCCAGCCGATCCGGGAGCAACGCGAACGCGCTTCCGGCATGGACGGTCGGCCGATTCGTACTGTACACCGTAACGTCGTGAACGGATGTATGATAAAGTGAAAAAAAACGGTATCATAGAGCTTGATATCGATCGAAACTGCTGTTCTCCTAAAGGCCGAGGTACCCTAACCGTAAAACGGCAGTTGAGGACAGGACATTGACCGTCAGTCCGGATCTATTCGATGCATCGTGATTTAGAAGTTACGCGCGTCGCGTCTTTTTCAGCGAAACGATGTACGTGCTCGCGCGCGATCGGGCAACGAGATCTCTGAATGCCGAAGAAATTCTTCATCGGGACAATGAGAGTGAATGTCGGATGTCCTCGCGCGCCTATTTAAAGAGACAGGAACACGTCATCCCGAAGAAGACGTCTCGAGGAGATAGCGCAAGCGTAGTTTCTCTTTATCTCTCCTCCTTCCTTCGTTTCTCCATCTCTCTGGTCCAACTTCGCCTTCGACGATCGCGCGGGGACAGGGGGCTTCTTCCCGAAGTACTTACGGAAGGGTGCTAAATAGCGGTCCGAATCGATTTCCTTGAATACTCGAATACTCGAACCGATGCGGTTATCTTTTCGGGAACAGCGTCGTATCGAGAGAGAAACGCGCGACAGAGGTTCGTCGGTTTTAAATTTCGATCGTTTCGAGATTTTTTTGGAAACCGTATATACCGAATCCGAACGCAAGGCGATCACATTCCTTCACAGTTCTATCTTTGAACGGACATCCGAGTTTCGTTAACGCATTCGCGTCGGTCGATTCGCAGCCGAACGTAGTCTCTCTCCTATAAGAGACCGCGGAAGAAAGTTACAAATTTAGACAGCGTGGATCAACGAAATCTCTGTTGGAACATTTCGCGAGCGAAGGAAAATTATTTGTCGAGGATCCAACGAGTGGCTAATTTACTCGTTCGATTTCGAAGGAACCGAGCGATCGGCGCGAATGCGTTAAAATTCTATTCTCACGAGAAAAGGCTCGGTTCGTTGGTTGGCGAGAAAAGTGAATGATAGAATGTGAACGGCCCCGCTGCGCGAGGGAGTCTCTTGGACCGAAGGAAACGCTCTCTACGGCGTAAGCTTTCGTTCGGACACGACGCAGTGTGTAATCATTCGCATGATTAAGCGCCCATGAATCAAGCGGAAGGAAAACACGAGCCGTAGCAGAGGAAAACAGAGATGTATAAAAGAAGACGTGTTTCAACAGAGGGGGAGCAAGAATTTGCTAGCGCCTCCGATCGTTCGAATATTGGGAGAAGCTGTTCTCTGGTCACTGCCTGGTAGCCTAATTCCTTCGTACCGTTGCTATAGAACAAACTGGAAGCAAATTATTCGTGCCGAACTAAATTAAAAAAAAAAAAACCGAGTCGAACATCAATAACGTCTAGGATATCTCAGAAATTTTGCTCGAAAACTAACGCGTGACCTTTGAGACCTATTTTCGCTAGGAAATTAGAAACCATATAAAAATGGGAAGGGAACTCGACAAAATAAGAAGAAAGAGAGAGAAAGAGAGAGAGAGAGAGAGTGAGAGAGAGAGAGTGAGAGAGAGACAGAACCGGAGGGAAGGAGATCGAGAGACAAAGAGAGACTATGGGCAGATACCGTAGGTAACCGTCCGATCGATCGACCGATCAATCGATCTGAGGCTTGCTTAAATCTACTACAATGAGTGTATTCACGTATTCACGAACATCTATTTGCCAGGATGTCGCCGGATTGGTAAACAAGGTGGCCGTCTTCGTCGTCCTCGACGGAGGGCGGTCGTGGGCTCTACGTATGGGCCGGCGGAATCGGTATCAGCGGCGCGTGCCAAGAGAGAGAACCCAATCGGTGTGGACGGCACCGTTTGGTGTCCGGATCATAGAGCGTCCGTGGTTTCGGTATCGTGATGAAGAGCCGAACCAGAGGCAGTAGGAAACGGTCCCGGAACCGGTGGTGGTCGTCGTCGTCGTCGATTCATCGCCAGGTTCGGCCAGAGGTCGTGCGAGGGGGCCCAATGCGACGAAGCGTCCACGCAGTTGCGATCCATCGGCAGACGGGGTAGTCGTCGTCGTCGTCGTTGTCGTCGTCGTCGCAGATGTTGGGGTCCACATCCAGGGCCGTCGCGTCAACCGATTGCCACACACCGTCATCCACCACCACCACCACCACCACGAGGGCGGAGACCCGTGTAACACGCGGTAGAGGACGTGTGTAAGCACGGACGAACGTACGAGTGTGTCGGTGGGGAGGAAGAAGGGGGATCAACATCATCGTCATCGGTCATCATCGAGAACCACCCGATCCGAGCGCCCAGTCGACCATAGTGACCAATCCGTGTGCCATATCCAATTCCATTCCATTCCATTACAACGGAGATGGTAACCCAACAATCAGAGAGAAAGGGGAGAGGGCAAAATGGTTTGCCAAGTCAGAAAGTTGCGGTTACGAATTTACCATCGGCACAAAGCGAACATTTTTCATTTTTACTTATTTTTTTTCTATTTTAACTCTCTAAATTATATTTATATATATATGTATATATATTTACCTCTTGTACTCTAAGTATACGCGTATACTTTTTCATTTACGTACGTATATTATCTCGTTTATCGTATCATAGATTTTTCCTAAGCTCTAGTACTTTGCGTTAAAGTTAGGTTTCTAATCGCCTCGAAGGAGCCGTCCCGAGATTTTTCTTTTCCCAAAAGATCTTACGTAGACTCGAGTGGATTCTCAAAGTTCGTCGAGAAACGAATCCGGATCGCGAAGCTTTTAAACGTTCCCCGTAAGTATAAAAGAGAGGAAACGCGAACGACTCGTCGTTTGGAAAATGGACAGCAAGGAAACATGGTCGTCGGACAGCTTCTTTCGAGCGCTCGTTATATTCGTTATCTAACACGCTCGGAGAGGACTTTATCTATTATTGTTAATTAATCGATCATTGTCAGAAACTTTTGGAGTACTTACGTGGTTGCGTCGGTGGGGGAGCTCGACGACGATCGATCCGACGATCGATCCCCGCGAGCCGTCGCCACCGCGACAGTGCCGATCGACGCTTTGAGCCTATCTTATCGATCTTATCGAACAAAACGCGATCGGATAATATCGTCTCGATCGTCGCGGAATCTCGACCGACTCGCGTTGCATCGGCAAAGAAAAAAAATGGCAGGGCTGCGATACTCGTTCGGTCGCATCGGTCCAACGTGTTCTCCGATCGTGGTTACGAGGCTAGACGGAACAACGTCGTTGGCGGCGGAAACAGGATGCTGTCCGAAAATCTTCGAGCCGTCTCGTTCGAGAGGAAGCCGGGATGATGATCTCGGACAGCATCGAGATCGCGCGAGGCTCGATAAGATAACTCGAGCGCGAGTCATCCCCGGTCCCCGGTGTCCAAGAACTCTCTCACGGCAAGGGTACTCGAGGTCTGTTAAAACACCGTTCGAAGGTGTCGCGGTTGGCGCTGTGCAACGATCGTAAGCAGCCGACCAGTCTAGACGAGCCGGTCAACTTTCTCGTAGAGCTCGCGAGAGTCGTTTCTCTCTTTATCGCCCCTAATTTTTCAGACGCGTTTTCAACTCGCGCCGCAATCTCCCGCGCTTCCAATTTCCCGGACCGTTGTACGTTTACGAGACGCTACTTGTTCGAAATTGCATTCTAGCTCGACCGATAAAGTTTCGTTCCATGAAGAGTACTCCTTGGGGAGGCCCAACCAAAGTCTGTCGGAGAATAGCGCGAAACTCGGTTACGAATTCCCCAAAAGGGACGGAAAAAGTTGCGAGCGGCCGATGTGAACGCTGAATCGGCAACTTAGGATCTCTGCACGCAAGTATGCATCGTTAGTGCGCGTTCGTTGCATCCACGGAGGACGAACGGGTGTAACACGCCGGTAGTAGGAGGCGGATAGTTAAGAGACACGAGCGAACGCAAACAGCGACGCGGTGAAAGGGATGAGCGGGGCCGGGGTCGGGGTCGGGGTCGGAGCCGGGGCAACAACATCGGCAGCAGTGTCAGCAGCATCAGCAACAACGGGACAATACCGCCGCGACCCGATGGCCGCGGAAGCCAGCGTGCGGCTCGACAACTTACAATCGCGTGTTGAATCGCGTCCGCGACGCTAACGACACTCGTCGACGCGTTCTTCGCCGCGTCTTTGGCCACGTCTTTGGCCGCATCTTTTCGCTCGGTTCGATAGCCGGTTTTCCAATACTTGTTGGCGATAATGTCCGTGGTGCTGGGCTTCATTTTGACGGTGCCGCCGGCCGCCAGCTGGGTGTAGGTCTCCTCCATGGCGGCGTACTTGAGGATCAGGCTCTGGATCTCTTTGCGCTTCGCGGCTCTCTCGGAGATCGCCGGATCGTCCTCGTCGATGGCCAGCACCGCGTCGACGCCGACCTCGTGGACCGCGTTGCCGGTCGGGGTCTTGTCGGGGTCGGGATCGGGATCGGGGGCGTCCTTGTTTCTCGCGTTTTTGCGCTCGGTGGTCGTCGATGACTCGACCTTGGTCGGCCGAGCCAGTCTCTGCGCCGCCGTCGAGCTGGATTCCAGTTGCTCGCTCTTCCCGTTTCGGTAGGGCCTGACCTTGCGGGTCCAGGTCTCCGCGTGGCCGGACTTGTGCCTCCCGTATCTCCGATAGGATTCCACCCTGTTCAACAGGGTGCCGCGGTCCGTTCGCTGAAAGGCCGGCGTCTTCTCGCGCTTGAACTCTCTCGCGGGGGCGGACTTGACGTACGGATATGCTTTCTCGGACAGCACCACGCTGACGGGACTCTTGACCACGCTGCGGGACATCGAGGGCTCCAAGGTCTTGTCGTCCCTCGCGAACGGGCTGTCCTCCCTGCGGACGTAGCTGTGGTCCCGCTCGTGGGTGCGCCTGTAGTCCAGGAGGCCGCGGTCGCCGTAATCGTGCCGCTTCTTCCTCGAGTAGGTCAGATAATCCGCGTCCTCCAAACGGTGTCTGACGTTGTTCAGGATGGCTGGGTTAGGGGACCTCCTGACAGCGGACTTGCCGACCGTGTTGTTGTCGTTTACGGTGGACGTGCCGCGTACCCTGGTGGTCAGCCGTTGCAACAGGCTCGAGCAGGAATCGCTCAGCATCTGCGTGACGCTGGTGGTCGTCGAAGATCGAGCATAACGATTCCGCCGGCTCGCCGAGCCCTGACGGGTCGACGAGACGTTGTCTCGCGACGCGAAGATGAACATCGGGACGCGGCGTCGATCCCCTTGGCTCGAATCCTTTCGACGCGTGCTGCGGTTCGGTTCGGCGGAGTCTTCGGAGGGACCCGGCCGCGGGAGCTACATCCGTCGAGAGCGCGCGAGAGTGCGAAAAAGCCGTCGGTCGGGAACGTCTCTCGAACGGTCCCACCGAAATAGCCGTTGGTTTTTCAGCACGCGCGGCTACCTTTCTCGATCCCCGTTTAGTTTTTCGTTCGTTCGCGACTGGCCGCTGAAACCGGTGGTAGTCCGAGCCGAGCGCGGAGCGCCTCGTCCCCCGAGAAGCTCAAGGTCGGCCCGCCGGATCCTCCGGCGAGAACGTGGTCTCCGGCTGCCGACGGATCGTCCGGGGTTGCCGCGGATCGGGAGAGACGGCGAACGGAGACGGAGACGGAGAGAAGAGGGCTGCGAAGCGTGTAAATCCAGCGAGTCGCGCGGCGTGACAAAGTGTTGCCGCTGGTCGCATAATCACCGCCACGGAGGTGCGAGCATGTCGATCGCGCAAGAGGGACGACGCCACCGGAGGCACTAAACTACGACCACAACGGCGGTCACGGAGACGACGGCCGACGTCGACCGTTCACGAAGCGGCGACGAGAGGAGAAGGCGAAACACGTCGGTGCGCCCCGCCAAATACTCTCGTCGCACTAAAAATACCGAGCAGCGGTGGCGAGCAGCGAGCAGAGCGAACAGCGAGCAGCTCGGACCGACGTTCTCCTCTCTCTCTCTCACTCTTTCACTCCCTCTGCCTCTCCCCGGTGCCGAGAGAGCTTCGCGATCAGCAACGCTGAGCGGAGGAAGAAGCCAGGAGGCGAGGGGTCGGAGACGAGATCGAGAGAAAAGAGAAGAAGAAAGACCGGACCGAGGGAGCCGGTATTACGTAAATTTGTCCCTCGCTTGCTCGGAGAGCGCGGCGAAGTTCGGCTCGGTCGGAGGAACCGATGCTTGGCAACGCTGCGTTTCCTGGTGCACGGAGACCGGAGACCGATCCGGAAGACGGAACGCAGTTCGACGAGCAAGCTCGTCCCGAGGAAACGGTTCGCGCACCCGCGGTTCCGCTCCCCGGGGTGCCTCCGCCGAGGGCGCTCGGCGTTCGCGCGCCACGCGTTCTCGCTGGTCCCGCACACCTTGACACATATAGAAATTACGAAATCGCCGGTTCGCCGGCCATCGGACGAACGAGAGCAACGAGAGTTCGGTGGTGTGCGGTACCCGCGACGAGATTCCGATCCGACGGTGACGGAGGCATATCGCATAATTAGAACGCGCCGATATCTAAACGCGATCGGAGTTCGACGCAGCGACGGTCGAGGATGTTGCACCATTTCGCGGCGAAGCGGGGGGACCACCGGGACTTTGGATCTCGACGATCCGTCGATTCCATCCGCGGTCGGTCGTCGGTGCTAGCGAGACGCTGGTCGCGTTCGGTATTTCGTCCGGACTCCAGAGTACGGCTTCTTTTCGTCGATAAAAAGGAGGCGTCGAAAGGTGAACGACACCTCGTCGCCCGCGCCACGGGGGCAGGATTTTCGCTCGTTAGCTCGAGAAAGAGGCGCCGCGTGTCGGAACGCTCTACGAAAGATCGTAGATCCTGGGCGACCGGAAGAGATTCGTTCGGAAACGACGGGAACATGGTCGGCGCACCGATGTCCGAGGACCCCCGTACTATTAATAAACCGCGGCCGGCCCAAGGTCGCGCTTATTCGCCGATATCGTCTCCGCACGATTCTCACAAATTCGAGAATCGGGTATAAATACCGCGTCGTCTAGAAAATAACGGCGTAGTTCGCGATCCGCTCGCCCACGGGGCACCGCCAAAATTTCCTGGCCGCGCGAGCGAGCGAGCTCGGAGGAGGATCGCGTGTCGCTGCTCTCCGACGCCGAGGATGCGCGATTCGAATCCGATTCTGACGAAAGAGGACCGATCGCGCGGGAACCTGGATCGTATTACCGCGCGAGTTCCGATATAAAATCGTTCGCGGCGAGGAGAGCATCTGGCCAAACGGTGCAGCGGCCCGGCAACCTCGAACGGACCCAAGGTCACCGGCGGGCAGCAGCAGCGTCTAGCAGACCGTCGCGAGGTCGAGGAGCGCGTCGCTCTCGGAAGAATCGCCTAGCTACCGCCTAGCTTTCCGTCTCGTTATCCCTCGACGCGGTAATAGAGAGATTAATGCCACATGCCCGGCGTTGGAGCAAGCGTCCAGATTACCTATGACGTTCGCGTTCGCTCGAGAGTGTCAATGGGTTAGTCTCGAATTGGTGTCAATTAAGAGAACGCGCCGCGACCGCACCGTCCCAACGACGGTGGTCACTGGCCTCGAGAACGACCATCGAAGAAGTAGGTAAGGTCGGCGACGACGTCGCAGGGAGGTGGGCGACCGCGAGCCGATCCTTTATCGGGGACCTGCCGCGTCGGTGGACTACCGGAAGCGTTCCAACCGATACTCCAGGCGAATAGAAAGAGAATAGACGTAATTGTATCTGGCACGATGCAGGTGGTCACCGACCTCCTGCACGACCATCGAGGCCGTGACAACGAGGTTGTGGTTGCGAAGCGGTTCCTTTTTTCCAGGCCACCGGAGGACACCGACGAAAGATATTCGCGAAGCCGACGATCCATTTGTCGGTACAATTCGATCTCTGTCGAATAAGAAGATGCATTCTTTCAGCTTCGATAAAGGAACGATCTTTCTCTGCAACGCGAAACGCTCGAGACGCGCTTCGTTCCGCTTTCGTCGACGCTGAAACGCTTTGGGAAAGGTTAGTTCCCGCTCGATTGGATTCGTTCGACCGTTTGGAGACGCGCGCCGGGATGTTACGACACGCTTGTTCCCTCGAGGGGTAGATACCGAGCAGTTTCGGGCCGATTCGTTGGACCTTAGACTTAAAATAGGTCCTAGCCGAGCGTGTTTTCGTTACGTCGACGATGGGTTTCGTCGGTGGGCTGCTGGTTCGTAGGCTTTTTTTTTTGTAAAACGAGCAACGTTGGCGAAGGTAAGGTTTCTCGAGCTCTACCGACGCGATCGAACGAAAGTGCGAAGATACGGAGCTAATTGAATCTTATCGAAGCAAATCGTTCGATACCAAGCTTGTTCTGCGACGCGTCGCGACTCGAAAATCAAAGTCCAACGATCGGTTTAAACCTGTCCGAAAGATTTTCCGAACGGAAATAAAAAAAAACCCAGAAGAGGAAAGAGACGAGGAAGGAGACGCGATACGCGTGTTCCCAAACCGCGTTCGCGCCTGTTTATCGCGTTAGCGTACGACTCTGCCAAATATAACCGAGAAGCGCGAAACGCGTGCGCGCGCGAGAGTTTGTTTAAATGTTAAGACGAGCGATTACCAGCCGACCAGCTCGTGCTAGCTTCTCGCCAGCCATCTCGCGACTTACAGATGCTGGCCGACTTCGTGTCACCGTTGTCGCTGCTGCTGCTGCGTGGCAAAGGGCCAACGAAAACAGGTACGCGCGTAGGACGATTCGCGCGGTAAGGTGTGTTCGGGGCTTAAGTAGATTCCGCTCCGACATTTGTCAACCGCGTCGGAGCCGCGTGTACGGTGTACCCTTTTCTCGATAACACCGTGCTTCGAGGATTCGCGCCGTCGACGCCATCGATCGAGCATGGATCGTTCGACCGCGAAACCATCGATCGACGATGTTTGGGCTCGCGATTTCGGAGCGCCGCACGCCCGGTGCACCTCGGATTTCGATGCATTTTTCTATCGCGTTACGAACGTTACCGTTGTTTGGAACGTCGCGTCGAGACGCGCGATTCGAACAGAAATGTATTTTCTCGAACGCGTCGAAGCAACGCCGAAGCAGAAGACCAGGTCAGTTCTTCTCCGTCGTGGCCGACGAAACGGACGCTTCGAGGACGAAGCCATAATTCGGACCAAAGATCGCCCTCGCTATCGCGCGCACGCGGTACGATAGTATTCGTCAACCTACATACGATGTTGCAATTCGCATTCGCGTGCGAGCATTTCGTACAAAATTATAAATAGCGCGCTAGGGTTGGGACAGTTGTCTTTGCTTCGAACTTTAGCCTTCCCCGATGTTCTATACAGGGTGATTCGAGAAGAATGTCACACAAACGCGGCCCAAGATCGTTCTTAATATAAGATCGAGAACGAAGCGTCGGTCGCGCGCAACGAAATTCCGCCGGCTCGGTTGCGACAACCTGTTAGCCGCGATCGAGGCGCGCCGGACTCGCTTCGGAATCACCCTGTACGATTTCCAGCCGGCCGAACGGCGATAAACCACCCATCGTTCCGCGAACCGAATTACGATCTTACGTAAACGCAGCCGTGAGATCATCGTCGACGCGCGGAGATCGCGGTATCTGTCGCGGCGTCCGCACCGGCGGATCTCGCGCGGCGATATCGACGGAGAACCGTCCAGTTTGGCTACCTCGGAAGAAGAAGAAGAAGAAGTAGAGGAGGAAGAAGGCGGCGAAGCGTCGTTGGATTCCGGCGTGACGTCGAGCTTCGCCGAGAACCGATCGGCGGGTTCGGGCTCGTGCGGATTCCGCAGCAGCCACGGTTCCCAGCCGTGCCTGGGCAACCAGGAGATGTGCCAGCCGGGCATCAGCAAATTCAGCTCCTGCTCCAGCGCCGGCATGGACGAGGAAGAGGAGGACGCGGCCGACGCGGACGCCGTCGCCGACGCCGAGGCCGAGCCTCTGCACCAGCTGCCCGCGGGCTCCAGGGTGCCGGTTCTGATCGCCGCCGACTGGTTGCTGCAACCTCTGCGAGGACCGGCGCGCACCTTCCTCACGGACGCATCTTGCCAAGTGCAACCGGTGTATTTCTAAATCCAGGTTGATCGATTCTGGGTCACCGGATGCTGGGAGGACTGCTCCGAGCGGACGCTCGCGCGGCACCGCATCGGCGAGGTTACCTTGATCGACGACGCGCGAATACCGTTAAACGGACGTCCCCTGTGTGTTCTTCTCCGGGTCCGGGTTAGCGGCCGGATTTTCTCTCGTTCCCGAGGAGACCGGGCGAACGCGACGCACTGTCGCCTATCCGCCTCTTCGGATGAAACGGAACGAGGATCGATCCCGTTCCGGACCAACGCGTGTGTCCCCGGCGCGCGTTCAACCTCCGAGCATGTTCGAGAGGCTCCGACCGTTTCTCCCGCGGGATAAATATAATTTCGCGATCGCGACCGTCCCTCTCGATTTCTCTCCTCGTTTCACCGATATCTCGCGGGGCGAGATATCTCCTGGCCGAGCAGGACCTCGCCGAGGAGCTCCGTTGTCCCGAGACTTGGTTCCGGCGAGCCGCCGGCCTCTTGCCTGCCGGTTTCCCGACCACGATGGCGCAGACGACGGAGTTGCGCCGGCCATCTGGCTCAAACTCGCACTAAAACCGCGGCGAAACCGCGTGACGAGTCCCCCTCGAAAATAGTCGCCGGTCGAAAATAGCCGACGCTCGCTAAGAAAGAAGAATCATCGGCATTCGCTCCGGGTACACGCGCGTTTCGTGCTAGTCGCGCCGCGGCCTTCTCCAGAGACTGATCTCTCGTCTCCGATCTCGCCTCTCTCCTCTCGGCCGCGTACCGATCGCCTCTCCTCGGCTTTTCTTTTTCTTCGCTCTTCGTTCTCTTCTCTCTTCCTATCGATCCGTTTCGCGTCGCAGGCTCCTCCGAGTACGATTATTTATATCGCCGCGCGATCCATTGTACCGGGGTCGAGAGGCATCATCCTTGTCCGCGACGATAACGATACGCTATCTCGGAGCCGCTCGTTCGCTCTCGTTCGCAGCTGATGATTCACTCGCTCCACTTTTGGACCGAGCGCGATTTTCCTCGTTCGCGAGTGGGAGGACAATTTCGCGGAACGATTCCGAAGCTACGGGGCCAGGAAGTTTTCGAATCGGGGAAAATCCGACCTTCGCTCCTTCCACGTTCCGGGGTTAAAAGACAACCTCTCGCGTTTCCTACGGAGCGTGGGTAGAGCTCGCGCGAACTACGCCCTCGTTCTCGAGGCAACGCGTCGCGCGAACGTTCCGCGATCGAGCGACGATCGGTTCTCAATCGACGTATTCGTTCGTCGCTCGAACGCGGTTCCGTTCGGTCTCAAAAATCGGCTCGAACGCCGGCCGATATCCCTTCGATTTCCTCCTCTAGTTTTTGCAAGAAAAGACCCAAAATCCGATTCGTTATGGAACTAGAGTTTATAGACCGTGGGTCTCTTCTTTCGAAAAAAAAACCAAATGCACCCGCGTCGAAGACGCAACGTTTTCCGGAACGTAAATGCCCGAGACAAGACGCTGTCCATCGTGGCTGTGTTCGTCCCACCCAATTGCGACGAATGGCCGTGCCAATCGATGGACCGCGAATCCTCGACGCGATCGCCTTCCTCGATTGCAACGCGCTACAAGTAAATAAGAAAATAAATCTCCGTTCTTGATATAACCACCCCGAGAAGTTGAATCAAGTAATATTCCGAAAATTCGCAGTCCGGCGATCTCCTCTCGCGAGGACTTGGGAGAACTCGGGGACCGAGAATTCGAGTATCCTTGCGCAAGAGACGAATCCTGATCAGGACTCGATGCGACCGATGGAGTACCGCAGCCAACCACCTGCCAAAGGTGTATGTACGATATTTTGCGGGGACCGGGTCGCGACAATACCGGAGTATCGCTCCTTCTTACGTTACCGGGGGGTTGTTCGAAGCCGCGCGCGCGCGAGATGAAAGGCCGAATCGCAACAATGTCGGCGTTCTTAGACTCACCTGACTCCTGGAGGACGGCGACCGGTGTCGATGCCGGTCCTGGCTCGCCGACGACGAGGCATGGTGTCGGTAGATCCTTGGTCGTCGGGAGGAGGTCGGGTGCGCTACACGATCGCGGTCGCGATCACGGTGACCGTGCTGCTGACGGCTGCTGCTCGGCGATCGCCGATGGCTCCGCTTGTACCGACGCTCCTGGCTCGTCCCACGGTCGTGCTGACGAGACCTCAGGACGCGTTCTCCGCTGAAAATTCCAAACGATACTCGATCAAACGCGGAACACGCAAACGGAAGCTCTTCCCACTCGCGCTGATCTCGATTTCGACGAAACCGTGCCCAAGACTCCCGGCTTTCGCAACATTTTCTACACCCTTCGGTCGTTCGTGGACGACGGAATTATTACGGGATTGTGAATCGATTCGCAAAATTGTAATTCGATTCGTTCGGAATCGAGAGTAACGTCTTCGAGCAGTCTTTTCTTCGAACGAAGTACTCCCGAGACGCGAAGAGATACTTTCTAGCGGTAAAAACGAAATTAGAAACCGCTGTTCAAATTGTTGGAAACACTCTTACTTTCACCGCGGCACGCTCGGGAGTCGACGCTGAAAATAAGAGAAACGAGATCCGAGGATTTTCTAAGTAGCTAACCGAAACAACCGATGAATCATGCTTCCGAATTGCTCTGGAACGCGAATCACGTACTATCGGCATACGATGAGACAACAACGTCCGAAGCGAATCGAACCGTTCGAAGTTCCACCCTACCAAGAAATGCCACATTCTCTTCTTTTATTTTCTTCGAAACTTTTCATAATTTATATTCAAGAAAACGATGTTTGCGGACCGTCTCGATCGCTATGCAAATTCGGAGGACGCGAGAAACCGTTCCGCGTCCGCGGCGATCTCTTCGCGGATGCTTTCGCGACGCGAAGGTCGCTTTTCCTTTTCGGCGGAGGTCAAAGTACACGGAATTGAATTACATCTCCGATTGTTGGCGCCTCGAAGGCTATCCGGGAATTTGTTCCTGCCCATTGTTCGAGGCGACGCGCGGCATCGTCTCGAAAAATGTCGTTCGAGCGATATCTCGACCGCCGGATGACCGCGTGTCGGAGCTCTCGGAACGCGCGGATGAGAAAGAAGAGCGGACGGATATACGTTGAAACTTGTCGTTCCACGGATACCGCGGATTCCACGGATTCCACGGATCTCTCGGATCCCTCGGATCCCGTTGAAATCTTAATTATAGAATATCCGATTTAAGGCGGAACAACTGGCGACGAATCGGGCCTAAGCTGCGCATGCTGCACAAAATCTTGGAGCGTTTTAGAGCAACAGTGAGTTGACCTACTTCGGCTGTCTGGCTTCAAATAGACCGTTTCGCTTAAGAGTGTTCGCTGACGTCTTTTCGTAACGTCTTGATCGAGCTGACTGCGACAGAAATCCGAGTCTCAAGGTCGAGCAGCTGGTACGCCTCCTTCCTCCCCGTCCCCGTAATGTCCATTGAAAATCTTCTATTATTCGTTTCCTCGTCTTTGAAAGTTGTCGAAGCGAGTCAAGAGATGCATTGTTTTTCGAGCGTATCGAAAGGCCGAGCAAATCGATTTTAGAATTAATTTTCGAAGCCGAGTTTCCAGCGAACAGCTCGGCTGCAGTTGCTGCTCGAGGATCGTTTAAATATTTTACGAATGTAAATGTTCGTTTCTCGAAGCACCGAATGCGGTAAAAGCGCCAGATAAGAACGATCGCTGCCCGTTCGAGACGAACGAGACTCGTAAAATTCGTTGCTCCATCGTCGTGACTCACGCGACGGAAGTCATCGAGATTTCTAATCGGAGAATATTCCGACGACGTATTTTCTCGGTGCGCGAGGAACGATTCCGCGGGTAAAAATGTGACGGGAATCGATTTTGAATCGGCCACGATTTTTGCAACATCCGCACAATCTCGAGTGGATCGATCCGTGGAAGTAGCAATTGGGCTATCGTTTGCATTTCTTTTTAAACGATTCACCGACGCGTTGTCCGACTTCGTAAATCTAAGAATATCTTCTCGCGACGAACAATTATTTTCCAAGGCAAAAGTTCGTTAGTTTCGTACACGGCAAGGTGGACGAACCATCGCGAACGGTTGTTCGCGCAACGAGAGAACAAGGACGCTTCTATAGAATGATAAAACTCCTGCCTTCGCGTTTCGATCGATAATGGAATTGAAAAATTTAATTGGACCGTTTCTCGGCTGCTGCGCGACACCTTTCCCTCTTGGAACCACTGGTGACACGGTAGACGTGCCACAGCATGAAGCGAGTACATGTGGGCGAACCGTTTGCCAGGAACCTTCGTTGACCTTACCCTTGAACGACGTCGTCGGTGTTTTTTTTGACCCAGTTTTTTTAAAGACCAACTTCTGATTTTCTGGCATCGGCTCGTACACCGAACCAAAAGGAATTTATGCTGGCGATCGTGAAATTGCCAAATGCGACGTTTCGTGCGAATCGCTTCTCGATAAACCGTGATTTATCGCGCGTAGAAAAGTTCGACTCGATCGGAGTGGACTTCGTTTCGACACGAATTCGTTAATGAAACGTCCGTCTTCCGAGAACGACCGTA